CCCAAAGACTGCTCACAGCAACACTGCCCAAAAAGTGCCATCGGGTTGAGGGTTTGGGGTTCAGGGTTGAGGTTTGGTGTTCGGGGGTTTAGGGTTCAGGGCTTAGGGCTTGCAAGGGGCTTGACGTCACTTGCATGTGCTGCCATGTCTTATTCCCAGCTTTCTTTCGTTGCTGATTGCTGCTGCTGCGATCACATGGTGTCCCGTCTCGTGCACGCTTCCGGCTGATGCCACTTCGCACGTTGTTGGTCATTGTTCTTTTGTGTCCGGCCTTTGTCAATTCAGCTAATTGTCGGGTCGATGGAAGAGGTTGTCAGGTCGTGGTTCGAACCCAACCTGTTAATATCAGAGAGCACACCACATTGTTCCTTTGTGACCAAGTTTAGGGCGCAGGGTTTGGGCTTGGGGTTCGGGCCCAGTTTGGGGACTTGCATGGTAGCTCACGACCGCCAATCCATGGTTCTGGCTCCGTTACACTGATGCCACCATGAGTCCCAACGACAGCCAGACTGTGAGGGTTGAGCGTCATGAGTGAATGAGGGTGCATTAAGCCCTGAAAACATCGAGAAGCTGTAAGGACAAAGCCGCGCGAAATCCGAAAGTACAGAATCGAAGCCGCAGCCGAAAGAGTCTAAATCCCCGAACCTAGTGTTTTTCAGAAACCGAATCCATTGATATGGAAGCACAGGACTACAGAAACACGCCGCGCCCGAAGTCACAAAATTCTTATAGACTCCTACTTTCAACTTTAAGCCTTAAGCCTTTAAGCCATATGCTCTAAACCATACAAAGAATATTGAACCTGACGTTCTTAACCTTCCTGCGGAAGTGCTTCTGGCAGTGAAGACAACTCATGGCTACTTGCAGGAGCTTTTTTCCGCCGGGTGGTTATGGGGTTCTTCACAAGTGAATTTTGGGGCATCGGGTTCGTTGACGGGTTCCTTTAAAAGGGTTCGCTCTGGGTGGCTATAGGGATAAGTGGGGGTTGGTTGAGATTGTAGATGTTGGATTCGGTGATGCTTGCAGTGTCCGAGACTTCTTTGCGCACTCTGGCTCTACCGAACTTTTAAAGGGTTTCAGGTGTTTCGATGTTGGAGCTTTCGGGGTTATGCAGCAGCAACGCAACAGCAATGACAGCAGAAACCTGCACAACGACTGCGGCAACACCCGCATGCCGCAAGACGGTAACCACCAACCAGCATTCAACAGACCATCACCACCATTTCACTGCGCCAAAGGAATGCAACCACTGCAACAACCATCACCGTCAGAGTCGGCAGCGCCGCCAGCTGCAGCAGCAGCCTCCGTCACCACCGCCACCACCAAGAACAACACCACCGCCATCTCCACTCTGCCGCCATCTCCACCCCAAGCCCCACAACCCCCACCCCCAACAGCAGCAGCAGCACAACCACCACTGCCGCCATCTCCACCCCGCTTCTGCTGCAGCAGCACCGCCACCATCACCACCACACCCACACCGACAGCAGGATGACAAGACAGCTACATGCCTAAGAACGAAAGGTCACAATAGCCTGCCGCATCACGAAGTGCACCCCTATGGAAGGCTCTCGCCCTCAGCCCAAAGCCTCAAACTCTAACTCTGACTCTGATCTACAAGCCCTAAACCATCCCCAGACCGAATCTCGAAGCCTTAAAACCCTTGCACTTTGGTCCTTGTCCTGACACCCCAAACCTTAGGCCCTTAGACCGGCTCACGATGGGAAAGCAGGCTCCTCCCGATGCTTCGCCGCAGCCTGGCTGCCTCCACGGGTCGCTTTAGGCGGCCCGGTTCCTTCAGAGACGCAGTACACTGGGGTTTAGGGTTTAGGGTCAGTACACCCTTGTAACGCCCCCCGTGGAGTTCCCCTTACTACTTATCATGGAACCCTATTTCTTCTATAGTAGCCCTTCTAGTACTCCTTATAGCAACCCCAAGCCCTAAACCCCTCGAACAGCGACCCGTTTGCGTGTTCCAGGGTTCGGCTCCAGAATGGTATAATGGTTAAGCAAGGTTTAGTGGTTTAGGGTTTAGTGGGTTCCTACGAAGCACCAGATTTTGTATCAAGATGGTGAACTATCACCATCCCCACCAACAGGCTTGCAAGTTCTTGCGGTTGCCATATCTGAAAACTGAGACTCGGGATGGGTCTCTAGATTGGCTGCGAGGAATCTCGTAAAACAGTCCATTGGCCATGCTCTTCCTCGATATCTCCTGAAACCGCCAGCATTGCAGAACAGTCAATTGCCGGCTGAAATTATCTAACATCTAAAGCACCGAATTAAACCCTAAACCCTAAATCCCTAAACTGCCATGTTTCAGGGCTGGAAGTCCTGGCTTCTGCAGGCTCTGCTCTAGCCTCGCCAGCCCGGCGAAGGCCAGTGCCGTCGAGTTCTTCGTCATGTTCATACATATTATGTGTCTGCGTGTGTGTATGTATATATATATATACATATATATATATAATACATGCAACATACATGTGAATACACATATTATGCACCTGTATGCGTGTGTATGTGTATACACACATATATATATATATATTGATATTTATGGGTTTATATACATACATACACCCATGAAGATAGAAGCCTCATGCATACGTACATCTACACCCCAGACCCAAATACACCCCAGACCCAAATAGACCCCAGAACATCACCTCCAGACTGAAGTGCACATATATATATATATATATATGTTTTTTGTTTAGGGTTTAGGGGTTTAGGGTTCAGGGGTTTAGGGGTTGGGGGTTTAGGGGTTTAGCGTTTAGGGGTTTAGGGTTTATAGGGGTTTAGGCATATTAGGGTTCCGAAGTGCCAGCATGGCGGGCTTCGTGCTCATGACCAGGAAACCCCGCGAGTCAGCACCCTTTTACAGAGCTCTTATGGTCCTTAATTAATAGTGTGTATTAGAGGGTAGTTGGGGGTCTAGGGAAGGGATACCAAACCTTCCCTAAAGCCGGTGAGCCGTAGACTTTGGACACTTTTTTCCACCTTAACCCCACAGATCCCCGCGCCCCCCCTGGAAGGTGCCCTCGACGTCTTCGCCCTGCCGGGAAGACTTCCGGGCCGCCCCAATCCTCGAAGCTTCATCTGCTCCTTGTCGGCGGCCCTCAGGTCCCTTTAAGGGTTTAGGGCTTTAGGGCTTTAGGGTTTAATGTTCAGGGTTGAGGGTTTAGGGTTTAGGGTTGAGCTCAGTGCAGGCTAGCATTGATGCATTGGGGGTGAAAGGCCGGCGTCTAGAGCTGTTGGGCTTCAGTTTTGCGCTGTTGGGCTTCTGCTCTTCGGTTGTTGCGACTTCGGGTACGTAGTTTGGGATATGTTGTGGCTATCTTCGAGAACGCAGTCAGAATCCATGCTAGAGCTCTTGCTCTCAAGTAGTCTTGCTTACGAACTTGTGATGTGAGTCCTGTTGGGTGTTTGGTTTTTGTGGGCCGAGGTTGAGTTTGGGTTGGGCATACCGCCAAGGTCATGTTGCCGGGTTTTGAGGATTCACGGTGTAGGCTCGATGTTCACTACCACGACCACTACCACTACCACTACCACTTCTTCTACTACTACTACTACCTCTATTCTAGGTTTATTTCTACTTCTACTACTAACTGCTACTGCCACTGCCGCTGCCTCTGCTACTGCTCCTTCTAAGAGATTTAATTTGAGTTTAGCTCGGGCCACGAGTACGTTGTCTGATGGCGCTTGTTTTGACGGCCAAGGCGTGAGCTTCGTTACCGCCTGGTGCTGGAAGGGATCAATCAGGTTGCTGGTCCTGGTTCTATCTCGAGGTCATGTATCTCAGGTTCGATTTTGTGTTTCAGCCTACGCGGATGACAACCATGCCAGTGGGGTCGGACTTCCCAACCGCAAGAAAATGCGAGAAGCCGCAGTAGCTAACTTTGCCAGTCTCCTAGGCTATCAAGATGCTATCGCCGAGTGAGGTACAGCAAATAATCCGCAGCCTGTAACATGAGCGTCTGCAAACTCTTCCCGGGTGTGGCTTACTTACACTGACTCCCTGAGGCCGGCCTGCTAACCTACACCGCGCTGGTGCTCTTCCGCTGTGGCTTCAGCCACTGGGCTCTGTAAGGTCGCAGAAACGGTGTGACAGGCCAAGGGTAGGCGACGCCCAGCATTTTATCTGCTGGGGTTGCGGGCCCCGTTTCACCTGCTCGGGAAAGTCGACGGTGCATGTGTTCGAGGTATCCTTCATGCGACGATCTCGACGAGTGAGGCCTGTTTGCGGCGATGCTTGAAGGTGTAACTAGTGGAACCGCATCGCCTAGCAGCTTGATTCTCTGAAGGGACATATCGTGGACACCTTCGATCTCTCTACAAAGTCAACGGAGGCTGAGAGCCTTCTTCGCTCCTATTTGGACGTGCCGAATGGAGGAGGCCGGTCTGCATCAAAGCACACATCGGCCGCACAAGACACTGGGTGCTTACAATCCTGTGACTTTCAGTAGATGTAGAAGTCGACTTCTTACGCACCGATGTGTAACATTGCCATGTGTGAGAGAGTGAGAGCTTTGGCAAGGTGGCGGTGGCACCGGCAAGGACCATGCCGTAGCATGCATAGCCTTCTCTGCACTTCAGTTTCTTCAGCATCAGGGTGTCTGGCAAGGAGACGACCCCCCTGCCCTTCCATGCAATCGAGTCGGATCCAGATATGCAGGCTCACGTGCACAGCTGCTACTTTCATCTAAGCAACCCCCATGATACACAGCTGTGCTGCTCATGCAACTGGCACGTCACATGCAGCTGCAGTGCCTGTCCGGCAGCCGGCATGAATGCGTCGCTCAGCGGTTCAACTCAGTCGCAAAATCACATACACAAATTCGTCGAGGTTTGGTCAGTCTGGTCTAACGCAGCAATGCAAGTTTAAGGGTATCATCGTTCCAGAGAGGTAGATGTCCATGCTGGGGTTGCAGCCCGCATTTTTGTTGAAGACGTTGGTCCAGCGGGCTCCAACTGTGCCAGCTCTGTTATGATGGCCAGCCATGAGCTACGGCCGGCTGCATGTTCCGATCGTGTGCCTCGGCAGATGCCGATTCTATTTCAGTGAACAGTGAATGGTGAGTTTTATTGAGTTTTGGTTCGGAACACTTGGCTCTCGAGAATGATGATGCCTCTTAGAATGATAGAAGAGGCTGGGCTCACTGCGGGATCGCTGGTGCGTAGCGCTGAAGCCTCCCGGCTTTGCTGCTGCGGCCGCCCATCCCACGCCTTCTTTGGAAGCCACGCTGAAGCCTTTCCTTCGGCGGGAGCGCATCTTGACGCTTCTTCATTCTCAGCATTGTCTATGGCGGCAATGAATCCGCCTTTGAGGTTCTATCTCGTTCCCTATCAGACCCCAGAAGGACGCGGAGGGGCTGGCCTTTGTGCAGGTCCCAGCTACTCGCAGCAGCTCTCCCTCTCCTTTCGACTCATGAGCACCTTTGGAAGCAAGGTGACGACGGATGATGGGATGCGCAAGTGGATCGACGAGATGTTGATGCTGGGCAGAATAAAGCCTACGTGAGCACATGTTGATGCCGATGATGCTCTTCTGCAGCTCTCGAGGCGACGAGGTCTGGTTCGCAGTCGCTACCGGGTCTTGGCCGACGTCGCAGCCAGAAGTGGCCCTCTCCTTGCAGACGGCAGATTTCTGGAGTCCGGCAACCTGCAAGCAGGCAGGAGCAGCCTCTTCGGTCGCTCGGAGAGCCTCAGTATGCTGTAGTACGGTGAAGGTGATGGTAAGTCGGACAGCTTCGAGTTCGAGCTCTACAGCGGTGTCATGGCTGCAATGCCAAGAGAGCCAGGGACTACCCGCTGTAGCATAGTGCAGGCCCAACGACATGTCCGGCTGACGAGACGATCATCACCGAGCCTTGGGCCAGCAATTGCCGAATCATCGGTGTGCTGCAAACGACGAGTGAGTGAATCATGCCACGGCAGTGTTCGGACCAGGCGTTGTACTTGGTGAAGGGGACGCCGTCTACGAAGGTGGCCCATAAGATCCGGCGCAGCTTCTGGGAAGGAGGTGCCCCTGTGCTGCCGCTCGTTCAAGACCACTGCTGCAAATCCTTATTGCGTCACGGATTGTCACAGGGTAGCTCTGCTGCTGGCATCGATGATCTCTGAGTGTGGTTTGTCCGAGTTCCTGAGGTACGATCCCGTGTTTCACACACCCCCACGCCCTGTTGATACGGACGATGCGATGTTGGAGGACACAGGTCTCTGCAGAGGCCCGGAGGTTGCTAGGGTGCATTGGGGTGAATTGAAACCACCGAAAAGCTAGGTGCTCTGGCAATGCAGCTCTTCGAGCTGGAGATGCCTGACCCCTTCCGCTCTTGGGAGACTCTTCGCATCACTGCCAAGGTGCCAAAGGCCGGGCTGAGCTGGCGTGTCAGCAACTTGCCCGTTCGTCTGGACATTCCCGTGCTTCTGCCATCAGGCGTGGCTTCAAGTCCATCCTCTTCCAGAGTTCACGGAGAATCAGGATTCCGAGGATTTCTGGTAAGAAGACGCGAGGGAAAACAGCCGTCTTTCAGACTTGGCGAGCCTGCACTTCCATTTAGCCCGATTTTGCAACATTACGCAGGGTGATCTGCCAGGCGTTGATGCAGATGTGGAAGAGCAATGCGCCCCTCGCCGCCGACATGAGCGTTTTTCCTGGGTTCCTCCACAGGGCTGGGGTAAGAGTTTTTTGCAGCTTGCTGATGCTGCCTTGAGAAAGGTCTGGCTTGGCGTTGGAGCGCTCCCACACCAACCTGACCAGCTTGAGCGAAGCCGCCGATTTTCCTTCTCCTGGCCTTAGCCACGTTCCTTCGCTCGGCGAGCTGCTTGGCTCAGAGCTCGACCCAAAGCCCCTCCTCGTGCATGCTTGACGTTCGGCTGGTTGCATGGCTCAGGATTCAAGAAGAGCTCCCTGGCTGAATTCGGTGACCTGTCCGCCTGCATCAAAGATGGGTCTTTTGTGGCGGATGCTTCTTCATCCCATGTTCTCCTCGGTTCCAGTAGGCAGCACCATGAGAACCGCACCGGGTGCAGGTGTTCCAATCACAGCGAAAAGGACGATCGCCTTCGTGCTTGCTCCTTTAACTCCGAGGAGCAGCCGACACCGCAGGAGCTTTGCGAACCTTCCTTGAGCATTCTGTCGCTTCGCTGCTACGTCACAACTTACAAACCCTGCACAAGAACACCACGTAGTGACTTGTCTGAGAGTGCTGGACGTGAGATTCGCACGCATCATTGCTCGCTTGTTGCCGAACAGGAACCTGAGAAAGAACAAGAACCTGGACAGTCCCGATCCCAGTTTGCTCTTTCGAAGCTCTTGAGACCGTCATGGGGAACCGGGCAAAGCGCGATAGCAGCCAGCCCTGTTGCCAGCAAAGATAGTGGTGCTGGCCTCTCGTCCTTATTTTCCTTCGAACATGCCTTCGGCGCTTCATCCGTTGCCTCATAAGACCTTGGCGTAAACGCTTTCACCTTTTCTCGTGGTGGGTGTCGTGGAATCTAGGTGCTCTCTGGACCAAAGCTACTCTACACATCACCCGCTAGCACGTCGCTAGCGTGTAGTGTTGGCCTCGGCTCGGTAGTGAGAGAATCTCACAACATGTGATGGACAAAAACGTGTTGTGCAAATAGCTGGCAGCCAGCCTTACTGGTACACCAAACCGTGAGCAGACAGCAAAATCATCCTTTTGCGGTTCACGCAATCCAGTAGCAATGGATCCTCTCGATCCGGGCACCTCGAAAGCAGCATCGATAGCGACGGCTGCAGCAACTGTGAAGGTCGCGGGCGCACCGCCCCTGAGCACGTCGAAAGCTGCAAGCTGTTTGTCTCCGGTCCCCAGAATCGTGCCTGTTCCACGGGCGCCCTTGGGGCCCCCAATTGGCGGGCCAGTGGGACCGTTCATATCGGGACCTGGTCCAGAGCTGCCAGTCAAGGCGCCGCCGTCCCATGGCATTTCCGCGAAAATGCCGCCACCGCAATTTGAAGTAGTGTCGGGTGGCGTCATCGGTGTAAAAATGCCGCCAGTTGGCCCTCCACCGCTTGCTCCTCCACAGATGTTGTCAACTTCTCTGCCAGTCCTTCCTCCCGGCCTGGGTTTGGCCCCGCCGGTTGGGCCACTGCCAGCCGTCTTGCTGCAACCGCCGCCGGAGCAGCCACCTGCAGGCTTGCTGGCAGCTGTGGATGCCGCAGTGGTGCGTGCAGGTGCTCCCGGAACAGTGCCGGCGGGACCTGTTGAGAAGTTGGAATGGCAGGCGCACACGTCGCCTGAGGGTATCCCGTTCTTCTTTTGCAAGAAGACCGGTGAGTCAAGATGGGTGCGGCCATGTGGGCCAGGCGACACCATCGTGGAAGCCAAAGCGGAAGAGGTGCGAAAGGAGCCGAAGGCCGGGTCACTGAAGGACAAGCTCGGTGAGCCCGAAACTTGGGAAAGCATTGGGAAGACAGGATGGACACGAGTTGAAACGGACAAGGGGTACACATATTTCTACCACAAGAAGCAGAAAAAGACCTCATGGACTTGTCCACCCGAGATAGCGAAGGAGGTGGCAGCGTTGGATGGAAGCTTGGGGGCTGCAGACGGGGAGGAAAACAAAGAGGTGGAGGATGGCAAGGAGGGGGGTGCTGAAGAGACACGGGATGCGGCGCAGACCGAGCCCGCTGATGGGGACGAAGAAGGACCCAAGAAGCAGACGCGTGCAGAGCGGGCAGAGAAGCGGGCACATCAGGTGGAAGAGGAGCAGAAAGCTTCCAAGGAGAAGGACAAGCTGCGGAACTTCAAGCAGCTTCTGGTGGAGAAAGGTGTTCGGGCCTTTGACAAGTACGACAAATGGGTTCCCAAACTGATGCATGACCCTCGTTTCACAGCAGTAACTAGCCTCAAGGAAAGAAGGCTCCTTTTCGAGATGCTTGCGAAAAAGATCGAAACAGAGAAGCGCAAGACACAGGCCGTCTGCAAGAGTCGAGGGCGAGAAGCCTTCAAAGAGCTGGTGGACAAAGCCGACCAGTTAGACTTGCTTGCAGGGAGAACGGTTGAGAAGGCGCTGGCTAGCATGGAACGTCGCTTCGGCGATGAGGCGCAATGGGATGCCGTGCCGGAACGCGATCGGGAGCGCATGGTTGCAGAGGCGGTTGCGGAGGCCACCAAGAGAGTGGAGAAGCAGAAGGAGGAGGCGCGGGCGAAATTCCGCGCTGCGGTGACCGAGGGCCTACGGGGCAAGGAGGAGGACCCTCCAGCTTTCTCCAAGGCCAGACGGTGGCTGGAGCACGACCCTTCCTGGGAACAGCTGGGGTCTACGGAGCGCGAGAACCTCTATGGCCGTCTGGCCCGTGAAATGAAGGATGCCAAGAGAAAGCAGGACGCCAAGAAGCGGGAGGTGCAGCAGGAGTTGGAGGAAGCCCGCAAGAAGCGGAAGCTCGGAGAGGCGGAGGAGAAGATCTTCAGCGTTTTGTCGGAGCGCATGAAGAACCCATTCAGCATGACCTGGGAAGAGGCCCTGATAGAATTTGTAAACAGGCATCCTGTTTGTGCTAAAGTCGGACCAGAGGCTTTGCTAAATACCCCAGAATCTCCAGAAACCGACTGTGCCTGGCTCGCCCTTAGGGCCCTGTCCCTTGTCCAGGCAAAGCCGGAGGTGCAAGAACTGCAGCTGCAGAAGACCTTCGGCTTGAGGGACAATGAGCTTGAGCAGCTTTGGCTAGACTACCAACGGAGGGCCATAGACGCCCGAAGAGAGGCCCTGTCGGCTTGGCATTTTCCGGCTTCCCCACATAGGTGGCTGTAATCCACTCATCTACTTCATAGCTTCGGTCTACGGGCTCACCTGCCCTGCGTGCTTGAGCCGCCAGGCCTGGCTGTGTATTCTGGATTCTGCCGGCTTCGAAGTTATCGGGCCAGAGCTGGAATTCGAGGACTTGTGGCATTGACAGCTTTTTGATGCTTTTTTGTAGAGGTTCCTTGTACCTTTACTTTGCGGGCTGGGCTCGCCCTCAGAGACTGCTCGGCCGCATTGAACCTTGGAGGAGGTTGTCCAGAGAGCCTTCGATGCAAAGACGGACGTGGCCACGCAGAAGGCATTCGAAGGCATGCCCGAGGACGCGGGGCAGTGGAAACTAGAGCTTCCCTGTTGCAGGGGGAGTCGTTGTGAATGTCTGTGGCGGGATCTGGCATGATCTGGCCACGCCGTATGGTCATGGTTTCAGCTGGGAAAGGGATCGGGCTCTGCCGATGGTATTCCGTTCTGTTTGATTTTTCGTTTCATCATGCATGCGAGGATGTGCTGAAGGAAAGTTGGAAGCAGTGGCGAGAGCGTGCCTACGAGCTGGCAGTGGAAGACTGTCAGCAGTGGCTACGCACCTGCCAGCACCTGCGGGGCTGCCACTTGGCATTCCGAAGCGAGTTCGAATTAGCGCATTAAAAAGGGGGGGGCTGCAAATCTGGTTCTGTACCGGCATACAACAAGGCGAAGATGTAGAGCCCACTGGTGGTGATGATTTCGATCGGCTGATGCGCAGATTGGCGGCAAAGGATATCCGCTTCAGGAGACTGGATGGACGACCTGAGCAGCAGACGAGCCCCTTTGACAGCAAATGGCCTCTCTATGGTGCAGAACAAAGAATCAGAAGTTGAAGCCGAAGCTTCCTGTACATGGTGAGCCCACGGTTGCTCAGGACTGCTGGCGGGACGTCTGCGAGAGCTGCGCAGCCTCCGTGGACAGAAGAAGGATGAGGGCGAGGAGGAGGAATACATGTGAGCACGTGCAACGGTGTCGTGTTTGAGCCCGTTACGCACTGTGCCGAGACGCAGAACTAGGCACTCCCGACCCGAGTACTGCCAGCGCAGGCGGAGAAGAAAAGACTGTTACAGTGCAGCTGTGCAGGGCATCGGTTTGATAGCATACATATTTAATCCGAGAGACGGGAGAAGGGTTTTAGCTCGTCCGATTCTGTGGAGCGATGGCATTCAAAGCCTGCCACGCTTTTGCAGTATTCCCGTCATATCTGCGCCAGATCGCAGCCTGCAAGCATCCCTCCCAACTGCAGGAATAAACCGGTTCCTTCGTGTCCTGACACTCTTGCTTTGACCAGTTCGGATACTGGTTCCGATCCTTTAATGGCAGAAGTTTTCTGCTTGACCAGCCGGACTGAGGACGAGGGAACACCCGGAGCGGGCACAGGACAAGACACCAAAGGCCTCTGCAAGAAAGATGCCGGGACCTCGGGACAGGTGTGCTCAATGCTGTGGCTGCTCTGCACATACATTGCAATGGATTTCGGCAAGGTCCGTGCAGTTTGTCAATGGGGACGCGGCTTTGGCTTGTTTGTGGAGTGACTGAGTGCCCATGTTCGAAGACGGCATTCAGACTAGCACGGCTCAGTATACTGCACCAACGTTTTTGATTGGATTGTCATTTGGGGAAACATGAAATATAGCGTTGATTTTCGCATGTCCCAGTGCTGCCGAGGTGTGTTGTACGGGAAGGGTCACTGGCCTCAAGCACCGAGGTTTACACAGGAAACTGCAAGCAATTTCCAGATGGGGAGCGGCGGCATGGACTTGGTACCTACGCTGCTGGCCATGCAGATAGGGCTGCGGAGTGGAGCGGGCTGTGCTCGTGCTAGCTGAGATATTGCACTCCGAGTGCGCGTGTTAAGTCTCTAAACGTGGCTACACTTTCGGTGCCACCTGCAGCTTGTTCGTCGCACTCGTGAAGTTCTGAAAGCCGCCTCCTGACTCAGGTCTACTCCAGCGGCACGCATGACATCTACAAGCAGTGACTCACCGGAACAGAAGGCAGTTCTGGACAGGCTGTTTGCCGGCGAACAGAGCCCAATGCCATGAACCTGCAACCCCCAACCAAGGTACCATGGACAGTGGCATGAGGACGTTGATGATATTTTGATTTGGAAAGTTGCGACGCATTCGGTTGCATGCATAAATGTAGCATGCATCAATGTATCCTTCACAAAAATTTTTTTGCAGGCTCACGGCTTGGCTTTTTGCAGGTAGGAGGTCCAGGGAGGCTTAATGGCCCGAGTCGTTGTAGGTGTCGAGAGTCACAGCAATGTCGCGGCAAATTGTCTCGAGTCGAACAGGACAAGAAACATGGATACGGCGTGCTCTTCTATCGCAACGGTGGGGTGTATGTTTCTCGCATGCATCCAGACCACGTTTGCCAAGTTCTGGGCACTTGGAACAGATGCAAAAATACTTTAAATCATATTCCCAGGTGGGACAGTGGCGGAACAACCAGAAGCACGGCCTTGGCGTGCTGCTGGACACGGCCTCGCAGGTCTCGAGCTTCCCTGCTAGAAAGGGCCAGGGATTTTGGGTTTAGGCTTTAGTTCACTGCAGTCCCTGCTCAAAAAAGCGCTTAGGATGAGTTGAGGGTTTAGGGCTGTGCCATAGATCAACAGATGGCAACTGCATATGGACATGCGGATCCCATGCAGCTGGCAGATAAATCAGATAAGATGCATTCATCGATCCGTTTCCCTGCCGAGCTTCCAATGTTGTTGTTGCCAAGTTGTTGCCCTGTGTTATGTCGCGAGCCTTTCTTTGTGTGTTTTTTGCGTATTTGTAGGGGTCCGAATGCTGTATTTTTGGGCATTCTAATAGAACCGAAACCTTGTTGTTGCAGTATTCGCAGCTCTGCCAGAGGCCAGCATGCTGATGGCAGTTGCCCCCACCAAATCAGCTAGAGCTTCGCCCCGTATCTAGTTATGTGTGTTTGTGTGTATGTATGCATGTATGCATGCATGCATGCATTCGTAACTGTATGTTTGTGTTTTTGTTTGTATTTGTGTGTGCGATGCTGAGTTAGTTCAGCTTTGCAATAGAAACAAGGAACCATGCACCACCTGAGATTCCTTTGCAGGAATTCAGGTGCATGGGTCCCTCTGAGTTGAGTTGAGCGCGCAGAGCTTCTGAGCCGGGGACACTGTTTGCGACAGGTCCAAGCAGAATAGGTACTGGTACAGCACCAACAGACTTAAAGATGCAAAGGTGATAAGTAGCATCATCCGTATCTTCGTGCTTTCGATTTTGGCACGGGCAGAGTTTGTCCATGCAGGAACCGGCGGATGCTTGGCCACAACGACATGATTGTGGGCAGTTTTGAGGCATAGCAGCTGGCACCGAGACATCTGACCAGGAGTTTCTTCTCTTCGAGACGACATCTAACAGCTACTACTGTCCTCATGGCGAGTTCCTACCGTCATTTGATTCAGCTGGTGGAATCTGAGGGGATGCCTACCTACCGCTATGAGGGCCTTTGGAAGGAGGACACGATGATTGGGTTGGCGACAGGGGTTTCTGTCGGGCTCCTCTTGCTTGGATTTTCTCCAGGCCACTGCGCAGGGAACACCCACAGCACTTTCTCAGTATTGCCGCTTCTTCGGGTTTGTGTCCGGTCCGGTGTCGAGGCGTGAGTGAACACTACTGCCGCTTTCCTGTGTTGGGGCAGGATCAACAGCACGGGCTTGGTGCCGAAGAGCAAGATTTGGTGTTGCTTGTCTGCGGTGGAGTTGAGAATTTCCTCGTGGCTTACCAGGAATCTGTGCACACGGTTGCTTGGGCATGACACCGTCTTAAACTGCGCCGCGACCTGTTCTGCCGAGGTCATATTTCGGAAACTTCTCAGCTGGACAACGAGCCTTGACTGCATGCCTTTGCCGTGCGGTGGGTCATGGACCATTTATGTCTCGGTTCCCAGCATCACCATCTTCCTGTTGCTTTGGCTAGATCAGGTAGTGGCCTCGGCATCCGGATGAACCTTGCCAAGCTCGGCTCCAACGGCGGCATCGAGGTGATGGACAGCAACAACCGACACTTGGCTCTGTCTGCATGTTCGAGTATTTGAAGCATTATATGGCGTGCGCAGTTTTCACAGGAGTTGTTTGTAAAAGATTTGGGCCTGCCTTCGCCAGCTCGTCTCCTGGGAAGACCAAGATGCGGGCGTTTTGTGATTCCAGCTTTCTTGGGGCCAGTCGCACACGTGCAATTCCGAAATCATGATCCAATTGCCCAGGCGCGCTGCCCTTTCAAGATGCATTGCTCGAAGAGCTGAATGTGTCCAGACTGAACCAGCTACTACGAAGAGCGTCCAAACCTGACATGTTCTCCGGAGCGAAGTTGCATTTGATAGGGTGATCGCGACTCATGACTGTAATTATGGCTACTTGAACCAGCCTGCGCCCGGAATACGCTTAAGTCACAATGGCGAATGCCTTTTGGCTCACTGTGTCTTTTGGCTCAAGCTGACTGTGTCCCTACACACGTGTTTTCGAAAAACTCTCTCTATCGCTCGCCTTTGCTCGCCATGGCCGCACCAGCTACCCCCGCTGATGCTTGGACTGATGTTGAGGAATTTGCGGCGGCAACGGAGCCTCGGGCGATTGATGGTGCCGCGATCTTGGTGCCGGTGACGACCAATGCCAATGACGATGAGGCAGAGATCGTCGTGAATGTGACCAGGGATGACGTTTATGCTTAGCAAAAAAACCAAAAGACAATGGCCGGCCTCGGGTCTGGGTGCGGCGGCCTCCAGCACCAAGGAGGTTGACATGGCCCCGGGGGAGGGCGGGGAGCCCTTGGCCCCAAGCCGTCCCCTGGCTGGCTTCGTGTCGGGAGGGCCCTGTCGACACGGAAAGCCCCGACCATGTGTACGACCGAGAAAGGAGCAGATGGTCTCTTGGTGGTGCAGGGCAGGCCGGAGAGTTTCCCGAACGTGGGCGTCCACATGCAGTCCTTCATCCGGAAACAGTTGTTGCGCCACATGGACATGGAGAAGCTTAGGAGCTTGCTCAAGAGAAGCTGGGTGGAGGGCCGAGGGAGACAGCTCCTAGGCTGCGGTGCTGGAAGCGCAATCTGCTCTACCTGGACATGCGGTCCCCCATCGAGACCAACAGGGAACGTCCTCGAGGTGCACCAGCGAGATGCGGATCTACAGGGGAGCTTGGCTCAAGAAGAAGGGCCCCCTGCGGGACCTTTCCTGGACCAAGGACCTGGCTGAGCAGGAGCTAGCGGATCAAGCACGCCCAGGTGAATGCAGTGGAGCCAGCCAAGGCGGGGCACCCGGACCTGGAGATCCGCGCCATGCGGCTGCGTCCTCACAGGCAGGATGGAGTGTGGCCTCGTTCTCAGCAGCATCA